TAAACGACATTGAACATGAGAGATATTGGAGCCCATTATTGAAAAAATGGAAGTGATTGTTAATTATTGAAAATGGAAGTGATTGTTAATTATTGTTTATATAGTGGATAATAGAGTGGAACATTATTTTAAGAGTAATGCTATAAATACATAACACTGTACATAGGAGTGAACATAACACTCACATTGAGTGAGATCCACCAAAATAAAAAATTAAGTGAACCACACTCCATGTGAGCGTTATATACATTTTTATGTACACTTATTATGTACTTATAGCATTTTTCTTATTTTAATTATAAAAAGTAACGCATTATGTAAGATTTATGGAAAAATGTAGCACTATCTATTACTATATAAAGAGCTAAGGAAAAATATATAATTAGTAAGTCATTTTCCCGCTCATTTTTTTCGTTTTATACTATTTGTCGTAACTTTTTTTTCGAAAATTTTGAATTATTCCGCCTGTGATGTTTTTTGAAAATTTTGAAGAAAAAAATAAATTCAAAAATCTAAATAAAAAGATCACATGAAGATTTTTTGGAGATTTTATATTATCTAACTTCAGTACAATAGGAGGGACACTTGTCCCATTTTCATTGATCCACTATAAATTTTATATGATAAGATAAATATAACTCAAATAATTGATATTATTTTACATTAAAAAATAAAACAAAAAAATCAAAATTCGTATTTTTCATACTCTATAAATAGAGACCACTCTTGATATGTTCTGAAACACAATTGAAATTATTATGTTGGGTTAGGATGTAGATAAAACAGTACCAAAAATGTAATGTAGATAATATTTATTAAATAAATAAATAAAAGTAAAATAAATATTATACTATCTTTATTGGGTCACCAACTAAAAAACAATAAAAGAAAAATAAAACAAAATCCGCGACCTAGATCAAATTGTGATCCTGGCTCGCAACCTAGCCACAAGGAGGGAGAGAGAAATGAGGTGAGTGGAATTGAGCGAGTGTCCCATTCTTATTGGTCTATAAAATTTTTCTGTAATAAGATAATTGTA